CCTTTTCTACTTTATTCCACTTCCTGTCCTGAGATTTAAAATTGATTTTACTATCGTTTTTGTGGCTCATTTGCTTTTTCAGCTATGTACATACACCCTGGCTTCTTTTCCACCCATCTTAAGTGCCCCTCCTTATCCAATCTCTCTAGTCTCCTGTGAATTTTGTACGTCATTTTCATGGCTCTTCAGGTCTTCTTTTCTTCTACAGTTGTTAAAGTTCTTAAAGTCTCTCATCGTTCATCGTCCCTCAGTTAACATAAAAGTCACATTACTAGTCTTGGATCTTTTGAATTTCTTTATATTCTTGATCAGGTGTGGGCACCGTGTTGGTGCCGCGTACCCTAAGTAGGCTTAAACTGTGTATAAAGTCATACTGCATTCTTTGTTAAAGTTTCTGGAAGCATTACTTAGGCTGTGAATAAAAGACGCAAGTGTAGAGTAAGCCTAAATTTATTGTGACTTTCGATCTATGTAGAGCTTTAAGTCAAGCTCCACATAGTGTATTGTCACTCTTTCCATGTGTTGTTTCATTACTGTGGGCAGTATGTTGTTGTGTGTAATAGTAGTTCTGGCGAAGTGCCTGTTGTAATGCCAACTGCTAGATGTTTCTATTTGTACATTGTCTGCAGTGTTTATCTTCTCAGGTTGTCTTCCATATCCAGTTTTTGCATTCACTTTCCTTTTCACTACTGGATATTTGTAATTGTACGCTGTTTACCTGGAGAGGGTTTCGGGGGTCAACGCCCCCACGGCTCGGTCTGAGACCAGGCCTCATGGTGAATCAGGGTCTGGTCAACCAGGCTGTTACTGCTCGCCGCACGCAAGCTGACGTACGCACCACAGCCCGGTTGGTCAGGTACTGATTTTAGGTGCCTGTCCAGTGCCTTCTTAAAGACAGCCAGGGGTCTATTGATAATCCCCCTTATGTATGCTGGGAGGCAGTTAAACAGTCTTGGGCCCCGGACACTTATTGTGTTGTCTCTCAATGTACTCGTGGCGCTCCTGCTTTTCATCGGGGGAATGTTGCATCTCCTGCCGAGTCTTTTGCTTTCTTAGTGACTGATTTTTGTGTGCAGGTTTGGTACCAGTCCCTCCAGGACCTTCCAAGTGTATATTATCGTGTATCTCTCTCGCCTGCATTCCAGGGAATACAGATCAAGGACCTTCAACCTTTCCAAGTAATTTAGGTGCCTTATGGTACTTATGTGTGCCGTGAAAGTTCTTTGTACACTCTCCAGGTCTGCAATGTCGCCAGCCTTGAAGGGGGCCGCTAGTGTACAGCAGTATTCCAGCCTAGAGAGCACAAGCGATTTGAAGAGAATCATCATGGGCTTGGCGTTCCTAGTTTTGAAGTTCTCATTATCGATCCTATCATGAGAACCTGCATTGTTTGTGAAAATTATTATTATTATTATTAATTATTATTATTATTATTATTATTATTATTATTATTATTATTATTACAAATCACCTGCAGGAGATTTACAAGGCATTACCTGAATTATTACCTGCAAGTAATTTGGTTGAGGTAAGTGAGACTTAAGTCACAGTAGGTCACTGAACTGCGACTCCTTCGACTGCCCACTTCTTCACCACTTTCACAAAAAAACTAGCCCTGACATTAAATTAATTATAAAATTAAAACCAGCTACTCTGGTGTATTGAAGTTTAGTGTACTGTATAGGATTAGGTTTGCTGGGAACACAGAATATAATTACTGTACATAAATTATTAATGTTATTAAAAAGAACTTTGTATTACTACTTACCATTTAATTACTGGAAGGCATTGCTGATGGAACACACCCTAACCTAGCCCCAAACAGCTAGAATTTACGATAGCCAATGTAAAAACTACTGTACATTGTGGGTAGGCATTTAGTTAAGGCTTGTTGTTGGGAAGGATTCATTGAAGTCCTCTATTTTCGTCCTACACACGCAATTCTTGAGGTCCCGCTAATTTCATGTCCCAATTCTTCAGCAAGAACGTGTCAGCAATTTCTAAATTACGAATTGAGACCGATACACCCCATTAAGCCTCCGAGAATGCCCAATTATTCACAGAATTTCCCATTACAACCAGTGTTCACACATTCAAAATGGCGTCTCCTCCCCGGTGTCAGTCTCTTCCACACCCCCCTTCACTTAAAAATTTCTCGAAGGGTCCAAATAGCATCACATTTTAATATGAAAATATTATATTATTCATATTGTTCTACATTTATGAAATTATGTAAAAAAAAAATTCCCAAGTGTTTATCTTCCCAGGTTCTCTTCCATATCTAGTTTTTGCATTCACTTTCCTTTTCACATTACTCTGTACTTATCATCACTTATTATTTCCATGGGGAAGTGCTAAATCCTTAGGGTCATATAGCACCTCGGAAATTTGAGGTAATCAGATTTAATTCAAGAAGAGGGTAGCTTCAGTTTCATGGACCAAAGTCTCTTCACCTGCATCATTATGCCCTCCTTCCCTAGAAGGGTCTTTTAATTGATATTTTATTTTGGCTTTCGGATTTTTATATTTTTCTGGAGGAGGGTAACAACTTAATTCTTCAAATCCGGTCGTAAAATTTGTACTTAAAAGCAAGACACGGTGACTGTAGCAACCATTATCTGTAGACGTCGGTTTCAGATCAAGACTCCTGGTGGACGGCCTTATCAATAAATTTATTAAAATACAAATGTTTGTTTCAGAATTACTGTATATAAAGCTTACAACAATCTGAAGGTCCAGACGATACATAGCATTTCGGGCAAAACTTAGCCTTAAAATTTACTTTTGTTTTTGTTATCAAAGGTTTAATATATTGTGTCACTAGGAACTTAAAAATAGATACAACTTAGTTCATAAAATAACGAAATGAGTAAAATATATTTTTGTTCTAAGAAGGTGAGAGGTATTAATTAATTCACTTACAATACAGAACAGTATATTGCAGTACAAGTTCACTGAGAATTGTTACGTTAGACTGCATGCTGGGCGCACATTATCTTAACGTACACACCACAGCCTGGTTGTACAGGAATTAACTTGAACTTTTCAAGCTTCCTCCTGAAGATAGCTGGAGATCTGTTAATTCCCCTCATTTTCTTTTTATTTTAATCACTAGGAAGCACTAAACCTATAGAAGTCTTACAGCACTTGGATAATGGGAGGCATTCAAGTTCGTTCCAAGGAAGAAGACATTCATTCATTAGAGGTTTGCCGGTACTTCCGGCCCGGGTAGGAAGAAGACGATAGTTCCGTTCCTTATACCAAGAGTCCTCACCGGTATCAAGGTATGCGTATGAGGCGGGAGGTCTAGGAGGGGGGGGGGTAGCTTTCCTAGAGTATAAAACTGAAAAATTTAAGACAAAAACTGACTTCAGAGCAGATACTTGATAATCCATTAGTTGGCAGATACTTGATAATCCATTAGTTGGCAGATACTTGATAACCCATTAGTTGGCAGATACTTGATAATCCATTAGTTGGCAGATACTTGATAATCCATTAGTTGGCAGATACTTGATAATCCATTAGTTGGCAGATACTTGATAATCCATTAGTTGGCAAATACTTGATAACCCATTAGTTGGCAGATACTTGATAACCCATTAGTTGGCAGATACTTGATAATCCATTAGTTGGCAGATACTTGATAACCCATTAGTTGGCAGATACTTGATAATCCATTAGTTGGCAGATACTTGATAATCCATTAGTTGGCAGATACTTGATAATCCATTAGTTGGCAGATACTTGATAACCCATTAGTTGGCAGATACTTGATAACCCATTAGTTGGCAGATACTTGATAATCCATTAGTTGGCAGATACTTGATAATCCATTAGTTGGTATAATTTGTCATATGAAAAAGGATTTTATCATATGTTAGCTACTCATACTGCAACATTTGTGCTGATTTATATTCCATATAGTAGTTGTATGGAAATCAGGACACTAAAAAATATCAGAGCAAAATTCTTCCTTTCTCCCCTTCATATGTAACCAACAGTATGCATATTTTTTACCGAATGATGTATTTATGTTTACTTAATTGTACATTTTTTTATGAACTGAATTCTTTTCTGTTAGTTTTCATTTATTTGATGTTAATTGTAATCTTTGTAATTTCCACGTGAAGAAAATAACCAGACTCGCTTATCCTCAACACAACGCTAGTTTAATATTGTATAGTATTCCTCTTGCTAAGATGGATTCAAGTTAAATATATATATATATATATATATATATATATATATATATATATATATATATATATATATATATATGTCGTGCTGAATAGGCAGAACTTGCGATCTTGGCTTAAATAGCAACGCTCATCTTGCCATATAGGACAAGGGAAAATTTGTGTATGCAATAATTTCGCCAAAATCATTCTGAATCTAACGAAAAAAATATATTTCACTGTGTTTGTTTAGTAGTAAATTACTGTAAACAAATCTAAAATATATTTAGTTGGGTTATGCTAAAATAAATTGTTCTTGTTATAATAAGGTTAGGTAAGTTTTCTAAGATTCTTTTGGAGCAAAATTAAAATTTTTTACACTAACATTAATGAAAAAAAATATATCTTTAAACGTATAAGAGAAAATTTTAGAAAGGACTTAATTTTAAATGAGTTCTCGCTAATTGACCAGTTTTACATATTCGGCACGACACACACACATATATATATATATATTATATATATATATATATATATATATATATATATATATATATATATATATATATATATATATATATAATGTGTGTGTGTGTACATAATCTGATGTCGGTGAGGATGCTCTTGATCCAAGGAACTGGACTTGCACTCCCTTTCCCTGAATATAATTAATTTGACTGACTCCCGTCCCTCAAGCACTATATGCTCCTCCGAGTTTTGTGCTTCTCCTTATTACAGTGCAATAAATAAATATGTAAAGATTGCTATTATGAATTTCTACAGTTTGTTTTACAATGTTAATGTTGTTGTATGTTGTTACAGGGAGATGCGAGGAGTGCAGCCAACCATTGTGTATGGACGGACCTGCGAGGAGCTTCCTTCTCGTGCCCTGCGCTCCCCGCGCTCACATATTGTGGCTGCCTTTACCGGGCCAGCGGGGGGCCTCACCTCTGTCAATCGTGGGGGTGACCCGCCATTGCAACGAGACGAGGCCGATCTAGACTACATAGATGCCGACGATGCCACATCTGATGCTCAGCCTAATGCCTACGTCACTTCCCAGAAGCCACCCCCACGTAAGACGCCATATGCCGATATAGCTGCGTACTTCCGCAAAAGAGATCCTAAATCGCCCGTTCATAAAAGATCCCGAGATGGTGTTAGTGAGGGACGCAGTATGGATTCCCTAGACTGTGAGGCTCCTTCGTGGAGAGGGGAGGCACCCTCGCCACTTTCCCCAAACCCTGGTCGGGCCCCTCCGGCTGCCTTCCTCCAGTTTGGTGACGGGCCCCTCAACTATGGCCTTACTCTCCCCCCAGATAGTGATGGTGATGGTTCAAATAATGGTTGTGCTAATGGGAATAATGGTGTTGTTGGTGCTAGTAGAAATAGTTGTAGTGGTTACGAGAGAAATTATAGTGATATTGTCAGTGATGTTGAAAGTAACGGAGATATAATGCAGGTGGGTAGTTATGATGCAGGTGGCTGGTCTAGTAGTGACAGCACAGGCCACAATATAAACACAGATAATATGGGCATGGTAGAAGCCGTGCTAGTTAGCTGCAGAGATGAAGGTGGAGGGACGGTCAACAAACTCATGATGCAGCCAGCCTTGTGCCCCAAATTGGATGATAACCTCAATCCCCTCATTATGGTTGATAACCCCGTGCAAGGTACAGACGCCCCTTTAGATAACCAAACTTTTGATTCTGACTCCCAGAGCAACCCCACCCAGACAGACAATGCAGACCGATCATATGAGAATGGAAACAACAATCCAGACATCAGCCCTCCCGATGACGACCTCCCTTGCGAAGCCAACGAGGGGGGTCTGGCCAGCCAACGGGCCAAGTTCCTCACTCTGGATTTAGTGGAAGCTGGGGCAATGGCAGGTCAGTCTGCCTGGCTCCACCCTATCAACTTAGCTAATCTGCACCTTCGTGTCTTGGACGCATGCCTGTAAAGCACTGATGTTATTCAGACATCCTATCATGATACTGACGATTTAGAATTAGCTGCGTAAACACGAGAGCATGACTTGACCATTTGTCAAAGCCACCTGCAGACGGTGCCCTCATTAACCCAGCATGTAACATCTTGTGTACTTTTGCGCTAGTGCTAGGATTAGTCGTCAGTCTTAATATAGGCTAACTAGCAGTAAGATTTGCTAGATCCACGCTAATATGATTCTCATTAAGCTTACTAGGTTAATATAATTGTGTAAATTTCATAATTTAAATAATAATAAATACCTTTAAAACCCATCACAAAACCCATTAAACATACTCTCATATTCATGACTTATTTGAAGTTTCCTTTCTTATTCTGTAAACAAGAGATTGTCAATCAATTTTCTATTATAACTTCAATCCTCGACGATTATTTCATTGAGTAGCTTTTTCTTCTAATTTTCTTGTATTACTTCCTTAGAGATCATTGATATTGATGGATATATAGTACTTGTGATTCCATATACATCAATTGATGTAAAGGAACGAGTATACATAATGAAGTAATTTAAAACATGACATCATGAGGAGTAGATAACAGGGTAGGCTACTTCATGATTTCTTATGAAATAATCTTGTGTACAGATACCTTCTTCTTTCATTGTCATTTTTCCACCTTGACATCCTTTCCTCGTCCTTATTTCCCTCTTCCCTCTCTATCTCGCACTCCAACTCGTACTCACCACTCCGACGGTGACACTCATCGATAAATGAAAAATTTGTTTTACAAATGACCAACAGAAAATTACACTGCCCTATATCCATTTAGACAAATATGTTCTAGACATGTAAGTTTTAAGTTACAGTAAAGAGGCTTTCTGAATTTAAGAGAAGACAAGTATCCATGTGAAGCATCATACAATACTGTACAGCTGTGAGGATGATGATAACCCCACTTGCATCAAAATACTAGAAATAAACTAAGGAACTTTACACAGAAAAAGGACATCTGACTTTACCTCAGGAGTTCCAAAAACACGTCACTACTGTTCAGTCGACTATGGTGTGCCCACAAGTATAAAATTAAAAGTAGTAACATCCAACTGCTATTTGCATATGTATACATACATTATACAGTTGGGGTCCACCTCTGGTGCAAATTGTCGAACCCGTCATAGCCTCGGAGAAGTGGATAAAAAGGCTTCAAGGAAGAATATTTGGATTTCTTCCTGAAGCCGTTTGAATATTTCACTTCCCTTACCACCCCATCTTTTCATTCTTTTTTACCAATAGGTATATTTTATTACATAATATGGTACAAAAGATTAAAGAGATACGACCAACTTGTTGAAAAAAAAAAAAAAAATATATATATATATATATATATATATATATATATATATATATATATATATATATATATATATATATATATATATATATATATATATATATAATGTCGTGCCGAATAAGTAAAACTTGCGATTTTGGCTTAAACAGCAACGCTCTTCTTGCCGAATAAGGCAAGCGAAAATTTGTGCATGCAATAATTTCGCAAAAATCATTCTGAACCTAACGAAAAAAATATATTTCATTGTGTTTGTTTATTATTAAATTATTGTAAACTTATCTAAAATATATTTACTTATGCTAAATTAAACTGTGCTTGTTATTATAAGGTTAGGTAAGTTTTCTAAGGTACTTTTGGTACAAAATTATTAATTTTTACATTAACATAAATTAAAAAATATATATATCTTTAAACGTTAAGAGAAAATTTTAGAAAGGACTTAATTTTAAATGAGTTCTTGCTAATTGACCAGTTTTACTTATTTGGCACGGTTATGTATTTTTTTTTTTTTTTTTTTTTTTTTTTTTTTTTTCAACAAGTCGGCCGTCTCCCACCGAGGCAGGGTGACCCAAAAAAGAAAGAAAATCCCCAAAAAGAAAATACTTTCATCATCATTCAACACTTTCACCACACTCGCACATTATCACTGTTTTTGCAGAGGTGCTCAGAATACAACAGTCTAGAAGCATACACATATAAAGATACACAACATATCCCTCCAAACTGCCAATATCCCAAATCCCCCCTTTAAAGTGCAGGCACTGTACCTCCCATTTCCAGGACTCAAGTCCGACTATATGAAAATAACCGGTTTCCCTGAATCCCTTCACTAAATATTACCCTGCTCACACTCCAACAGATCGTCAGGTCCCAAGTACCATTCGTCTCCATTCACTCCTATCTAACACGCTCACGCACGCTTGCTGGAAGTCCAAGCCCCTTGCCCACAAAACCTCCTTTACCCCCTCTCTCCAACCCTTTCGAGGACGACCCCTACCCCGCCTTCCTTCCCCTATAGATTTACATGCTTTCCATGTCATTCTACTTTGATCCATTCTCTCTAAATGACCAAACCACCTCAACAACCCCTCTTCTGCCCTCTGACTAATACTTTTATTAACTCCACACCTTCTCCTAATTTCCACACTCCGAATTTTCTGCATAATATTTACACCACACATTGCCCTTAAACAGGACATTCTCCACTGCCTCCAACCGTCTCCTCGCTACTGCATTTACCACCCAAGCTTCACACCCATATAAGAGTGTTGGTACTACTATACTTTCATACATTCCTTCTTTGCCTCCATAGATAACGTTTTTTGACTCCACATATACCTCAACGCACCACTCACCTTTTTTCCCTCATCAATTCTATGATTAACCTCATCCTTCATAAATCCATCCGCCGACACGTCAACTCCCAAGTATCTGAAAAACATTCACTTCTTCCATACTCCTCCCAATTTGATATCCAATTTTTCTTTATCTAAATAATTTGACACCCTCATCACCTTACTCTTTTCTATGTTCACTTTCAACTTTCTACCTTTACACACATTCCCAAACTCATCCACTAACCTTTGCAATTTTCTTTAGAATCTCCCATAAGCACAGTATCATCAGCAAAAAGTAACTGTGTCAATTCCCATTTTGAATTTGATTCCCCAAAATTTAATCCCACCCTCTCCCGAACACCCTAGCATTTACTTCCTTTACAACCCCATCTATAAATATATTAAACAACCATGGTGACATTACACATCCCTGTCTAAGTCCTACTTTTACCGGGAAGTAGTCTCCCTCTCTTCTACACACCCTAACCTGAGCCTCACTATCCTCATAAAAACTCTTTACAGCATTTAATAACTTACCACCTATTCCATATACTTGCAACATCTGCCACATTGCTCCTCTATCCACTCTATCATATGCCTTTTCAAAATCCATAAATGCAATAAAAACTTCCCTACCTTTATCTAAATACTGTTCACATATATGCTTCAATGTAAACACTTGATCTACACATCCCCTACCCACTCTGAAACCTCCTTGCTCATCCGCAATCCTACATTCTGTCTTACCTCTAATTCTTTCAATTATAACCCTACCGTACACTTTTCCTGGTATACTCAATAAGCTTATTCCTCTATAATTTTTACAGTCTCTTTTGTCCCCTTTCCTTTATATAAAGGGACTATACATGCTCTCCGCCAATCCCTAGGTACCTTCCCCTCTTTCATACATTTATTAAACAAAAGTACCAACCACTCCAACACTATATCCCCCCCTGCTTTTAACATTTCTGTCATGATCCCATCAGTTCCAGCTGCTTTACCCCCTTTCATTTTACGTAATGCCTCACGTACCTCCCCCACACTTACATTCTGCTCTTCTTCACTCCTAAAAGATGGTATACCTCCCTGACCAGTGCATGAAATTACTGCCTCTGTTTCTTCCTTAACATTTAAAAGTTCCTCAAAATATTCTCGCCATCTACCCAATACCTCCATCTCCCCATCTACTAACTCCCATACTCTATTTTTAACTGACAAATCCATATTTTCCCTAGGCTTTCTTAACTTGTTTAACTCACTCCAAAATTTTTTCTTATTTTCATTAAAATTTCTTGACAGTGCCTCTCCCACTCTATCATCTGCTCTCCTTTTGCACTCTCTCACCACTCTCTTTACCTTTCTTTTACTCTCATATACTCTGCTCTTCTTATAACACTTCTGCTTTGTAAAAACCTCTCATAAGCTACCTTTTTCTCTTTTATCACACCCTTTACTTCATCATTCCACCAATCACTCCTCCTTCCTCCTGCCCCCACCTTCCTATATCCACAAAAATTCTGCCCCACATTCTAATACTGCATTTTTAAAACTATTCCAACCCCCTTCAACCCCCCCATACTCATATATATACATATATATACATATATATATATATATATATATATATATATATATATATATATATATATATATATATATATATATATATATATATATATATACACTATAGTGTCGTGCCGAAAATGTAAAACTGGTCAATTGGCAAGAACTCATTTAAAATTAAGTCCGTTCTAAAATTTTCTCTTACACGTTTAAAGATATATTTTTTCATTAATGTTAATATAAAAAAATTTAATTTTGCACCAAAAGAATCTTAGAAAACTTACCTAACCTTATTATAACAAGAACAATTTATTTTAGCCTAACCCAACTAAATATATTTTAGATTTGTTTACAGAAATTTAATACTAAACAAACACAGTGAAATATATTTTTTTCGTTAGGTTCAGAATGATTTTGGCGAAATTATTGCATACACAAATTTTCACTTGTCCTATATGGCAAGATGAACGTTGCTATTTAAGCCAAGGTGGCAAATTCTGTCTATTCGGCACGACATATATATATATATATATATATATATATATATATATATATTATATATATATATTTTATATATATATATATATATGTCGTGCCGAAATGAAAAAACTGGTCACTTAGCAAGAACTCATTTAAAATTAAGTACTTTCTGAAATTTTCTCTTATACGTTTAAAGATATATTTTTTTCATT